AAATGTAGACACGTCTTTAAAAGACCCTCCTCCTCCTCCTCCTCCTCCCCACCACCCCGCGCAGCTGCGGTCAGCGCACCCCCACCCCATCCGTGTGATTAATACAGATTTTTTGCGCAAATTATAAATTTTTGACGCTCATTATACACGCTAAACGTCTGAAGGGGTTGACATGTGGACTTTAAGTTCCGGGCTGGTCGGAGCTGCGCTGCTGCAGGTGGATATGTTCGCTGCCCCTCACTTTAAAAACAGTCAGCTGATCCGTCGCGGTTTTGTTGCGCTCGTGACGTGAACACACAGGGGAAATGCTGCGAAGTGCTTTTAGAAATATAATATATATAAAATACGATGTAATCCTTGGTGGAAAATAGTCCAGGAAACGTGTGCGTTCCTGGGAGGTGTTCACCTGAGCTGAGTGAAGCTGACCCCCCACCCACAGAGAAAGGAAAAATGGCAGTAATTATTGATAAGGTAGTAACCATGCTGTGGCTTCACCTGTCGCATTTTCTTTTAAAGACATAAAAAGTAGCTCGCAAAGCTGTCGCATCGGTGCAACATGATTAGAAGCAGAGTTTTCATTGCCATCTAATCTCACACACGTCTTCCTATCTTTGTGAGGACCACACACAGCGCTCAGCCTCGCTCTGCACAGTCTTTTTCCCCAAGTTTGGCGAGAGGTGGATATGGAGGGTCGCAAAAAAATAGCTCTGGACTTGATCTGGCCTTGTTTAAATAAAAAAGACTACATGCCGTGAAATTCTTAGGCCCGCTTGTATGATGGTGGGGGAAACACTGAATACTGTATTATATTCATGTATAGGCTAATACTAGAAATTTAACCCTAAAAATCATCCATAAATTAGGGGGTCGTATTATACATGGGTTGTTGGTGATTAGATTTTTTATGTTTTTTAAACTCAAAAATTATGATTGTATTATACTTGAATAAATACGATAGGTTTAAAGTTATTTAAAACTTTTAACTGTTGTTTCATTTTTTAATAAATAAAAAAGTTTTAYGGGTTAACTCCAGATTGGAAGCAGAGTTCTGTTTACACGGAGCAGACGTTCTGTTAGGTGTTGGTCTGATCAGAATGATGAGTCTGCATTTGGACCCTGATAAGGATTGACAGGTCTGGATGTGGGGCTCATTGCACATTRCATCATGCATATATGCGTTTAGGTAAAACAGAATTATTTTTGTGTTTCAAAACATGCAACAATGTGACTGGTAATAAATCTCACGTGAAGATTTCACCTGGTGTTAGAGAACACGGCTTCTAATTAAATTTTCTGCATGTTTTAATCAAAATAAGAAGTGAAGCCGTTTCAAACACTTTATTTCATTCAATAAGACAAAAAACTGATGATAAATAACATTATAACTAATATATGGTAAAGTTCTCTTTTACGAATGACTGAGGTGAGTTCAAGTCTGAAGAACATAAAACACATTAAACAGAAATAAAATCTTTTTACATTGAACATGTTCACACGACTGATACCAACACCTAACGACTGAACACACAACCTCACACAGCTTTACAAACATAAAGTGAAGACCCACATGGAGCCAAAATCTGCAGGTTTCACTTTCAAATGTTTTAATCTGAGATTTAAATAAAGTTCCTCTAACAGACAGTCTGTACATTTGGCACCAAACAACTTCCATAAACGACACAGATTTTAATAAACATCTAAACAAAATTAAACAGATAAAATGTGATTGTTGAACTGCAGAGGTGAGTAAATAACAAAGGACAAACTTTTATTTTAATAGAATAAATAGGCTGTGTTTGAAGTGTCCAAATCTTATTTTCTAATAATCTACACAACAAAACCAGATTGTTGGACTCACTTAACCAAGTCATGTCAACAATTTCTACTCGACTTAGTTGAGTAAAGCAACTTTAACATGTGAAAGTTGATTTGCACTTCCTTGACTCAGTTGAGTGGAAATTGTTGCCATAACTTGGTTAAATAAATCCAACACATCTGTTTTTTTTTTGTGTGTGTGTAAATGGCCAATTTTCTGCAAAATCTAACGTTTTTAATGTGGTTTTTGCTATTTTTTTCTTACGAAATTGTGAAGAAAACAACATTTTCCCTGATGATGATGACAACTGGTTGAATATCTGAGTTTTGGGACAAACAGCTCCAGGACTTCACAGTTCATAACCACCAAAATATTTAGACTTTTACAT